AATTACTTAACTATATTTTTTAATTAATAAAACACGTAATTTCTATTAAGCGTTTAGGTACGTATATATGGTTATAGACTTGTGGCGCCATGCAAAACACACTTCGATCCATGAAAGCACTTTTATGCTGAGGGCAACCCCTGATAGATAGAAAATACTTTATTTGTACACCAGGGTTTTACAGACATTATACAGTAATTAACAACAGATGTAATGTACAAAGGGCGGCCTTATCGCTTAGAGCAATTTCTTTCAGGCAACCTTTAGATGGACTGGATTCTTTTTGAACTGGTGATAGGTATACAGAAATTGGAGTTATAAATAATAATGGTGTTGGTTAAATTAAGTAGGAGAATCTTGATCTTCACATCACATCATCATCACATCAACAACCTTTAATAGTCCACTGCTGGACATAGGCCTCTCCTTAGAAAGGAGGGTTTGGCCCACTATACCACGCTGGCCAGACGGGTTGGTATAGGGTTTGTGTCAAGTTTTCCTTCTCTCTGCAGTGCTGTTGTCCTGCGTAGTGTGCCTTAGTCGCCTCTTACGACACCCACAGGATGAAAAGGGATGGTGACACTCTGTATTCTTAATCCGTCACCACACGGACGATGTTTTTTGATCTTGATTTTATACACCCACAAATGATACATTCTGTATAGTAAGAAAAGTACTGTACTGTTGGATCACCTCTGCTTATGTTAGAGTGCAAATTTAATAGCACATAATACAAAATTACATAATGTATTTACATAATTTTAATTTCACGAATCTTACTAAATATTTGATGAACTCATGTAAAATTAGTGACAAATTAATGTAATACATAACTCAATAACTATATTCAAAGGGCTTATTTTACAAACTTCCTATTAGCTGACATTAAATATTTGTGAGTATTTTAGGCTCGAAAAATACTTGTACACAAAATTAATTCTTGTACACGAAATAGCTTGCTAACTTTGTGTACTCATATTTTCATTAAAATTCAAACCGTTGTAGCATAAACATTTAGAAAATAACGCCACTTCAAGATACTGAAGTGTAAAATGTTACCTAAATACTATTCTAGTTAATACAGTATCGTAAAACAGCTTACGAGGGCGCGCAAATTAGAAACGCGACTTTTTGCAAGCTCTGTAATATACGGGCGATAAATTGCGACGGTTATATCTGACCTTTCTTTTTCATTTAAAATGGATGACGTGTAACAGTATTCATTCGCTAGATAAGACTACTATACAGTTACTTGGTGTTTTAGTACTCGTCATACAAAATCTCAATTTCAATTTGACCTGGGTCAGGTCAAGGTCAGGGTCAACTCATTTATTGACCTCACGCTCCCCTTAAGTTCATGGTTTCTAGAGAAGCTTTCTTGTATATTGTTTGTCACTCTGACGCACTTTATGCTCTGCTTAATATCACTTCACATTGTTAAAGACTAGAGTTTGGATAAATAAATACTTTAATTCAATCCAGAATTTCTTTGTTATTACATCTTATCCTCAAACATTCATAACCATATTTTGTTTCGAACCTATAACATATTTATAGTTTTCGATAAGATGTTTCTTAAATTTCTATTGTATATCTAAAGTACAAAGGTTGAATTTTTATTGAATTTCAAACAAAATTTATTTTAGAGAATATTTATAAAATATAAAATTGTTGAAGATCATATCTTCTTAACCAACTATACGCCTGTATGTTTTACAGTAGGGTTGTCGCATGAATCCTGATTGCAGTCGTACGTGACACGAATAACGCTCGGCCGTTATCTGATACCGTAAACGGTTATTTATTGGATAAATCTCTGGTTATTTCGCCTAGTTATGCCTTGACCGTGGATGTCTTTATTTCTTGTTTATATTTGTAGGCTGAATTGTGTGACTTTTTTCTTTAAATTCTTTGAAGTGCTAAGACGTTTATTGTTTTTACACAAAGAATTTAAACAAGCATACAGTTTGCAAGATAGTTAGTGGCTACTAATGTCTACAAACACTGTTAACACGACATGCGTCAGTGGTTTCTGATGACCCTAACTGCCACAGACTGGTGGCCAACCCGACATAGGCAAAACCATGAAACTTTATTATTAGTGTTATTTAATTCCAATCCCTTTTCAGGTCATGATGATTTTAAATACCTAGCTATAATTACTAATTATAAACTTATTTAAATATTTTTAATTTATTAACAGGATAAATCAATACCTATCTAAAAGAAAAAAACCATATTTGTCAGACCTTTCTTCCTCTTTATAAAGTCGTATCATCAAATAAAAATTGAGTCGTCATGACTCATGACTCATGACATGACTGATAAAGGCTGATGATGATATTACATTTATATGTGGAAGGACTCCAACTGAATTTTAGCCTTAGGGAGTTGGCTTATAAAATCCAGTAGATTATGGTTATTATTTTGTTACTCGTGATATTATTAAGCCCTGATTTTTATGTCATTTCTACAATACATATTTATGCATATGTATGGACATTAAAGCGATCATGTAGGTAATTAATACCTTTCAAATGCCTGACGGTTTCAGCAAAATGCACTGGCCGGCTGCTTAACATAACTGTTTTACCACTGTTTCAGGGAATAGCATGCTTCTATTATAAATTTCAATGTCTTCTATCCATGTATTTAACAAACTTAAAAAATAAACTTAACGCCAAAGACATCATAGTTTTGTAAAAAAAGGAGTCCTATTGTCAGTATTGCAATTTGCAAAAATAACCCCTCAAAATTTTGACTCGACGCCATCTCTGCTGACACCAAACTTGAGCTCGCAAAACTAATAAACTTCTAAGGCTGTAATTACACTGTTAGACAAACACGTTCATGTGATCCAATTAGCGACAACCCTAAACTAGGTTGTCGCTTCCCATTATTTTAATCACCACTTCGTGACTAGACCCTCCCTTATAATTTATAATTGTAAGGTCGAATGTAGACTCACGACAAAGTCATGACAAAAAAAAATCTGTGACAAAATACATTTTTATGCATATTTTATATAGGTTTTTTTAATAAATATTTTTTATTAAAGAAATTTTGTGACGGACTCTGGTACCACTGGCTGCCTGGCCCTGGCTAAGCTAACTGATATCATTAGTAGTTGGACTAAAACTTAGCCATTACATTAGAGCTGCACCATCTTTTCCCATGCATGAACGCAGTGATTTTTTTAAATTTAATTTCCGCCGTGAATAAAAAAATATGGAAAATAAAACGATTTATACATTTTCTGTCACAATAAATTTAAAATTAGGTATAACATAGCATAATGGGGAAGTGTTGTCTCCTGGAATAGGGGCTGATTAAGCATGGTGTCAATTCGGGCAGGACCTGAAATAACATGGTCCGGGTCCTCCCAGAGTAGGACACCTGAGGCCGGCCGTCGGGTTGGTTTTTAGTAGAATCACTACATACTCCTGGCTCCTGAACCCCCGAGGAGCAGGAGATTCGAAGGGATTTTCCTCCTCGTCAAAAAAAAAAGTTTAAGATAGCATCAACTATATTTACACAAAAAACATCTAATTATTTAAAAAAAAAATGAGATTTTGTATCTAAGCGTTTGTCTTATTTATTGGAATAAGCTTCGATCTCAACGACTTTGACACTTAAAGGAGCTCTTGAACCATCGTTTTCTTCATTAATCTTTTTTGAAATCTACACAGATCTACATACAAAATAACAAAACTTTATCAGTCATAAAACTCTACGCGAGCTTTTCTTGTTCCATCAAAGAATATGAATAGTTATGTTCGCTGCAATCGCTCAAATAAATCATAAAGTCGTCAATGTATACAAGTCCTTATTAAAGACACCCTGTCATTTTATACCGATAATTAATGATAATTAAAGTAGGTACATTATTTAGAAAATGAATGACTAGGAGCTTAATATATTTTCTTACATTTGTCTCTTCGGTCTGAGGTTTAAGTTGTTAAAGGTATATCTTCATGACTTAATTAAGGTTTATTGACCTATGGAGTGACTAAGGACTGACTTCAAATTTCGACAGATCCGGGTTGTGATTTGAAGGATGTGCAGTGATTTTTAACTAAAAGATAAAGGAATACGGGGCGAGTATTTATACAAAGAAATTAGTTTTAGCAATGTTGAAATTAGCTCTAAAACTGATACTTATAAATTAAACATTTCAACAAAATCTGTGTGTGAGATTAACTTCATTGGAGGTTCTCAAATATTTTATTGCATTAGAAATTTAAGTGACTCAGACCTGAACACACTTCGGTTAGCTACTCAGAAATCCCTTAATCTTTTTTAGTTCAAAGCGTTGCCATTTATGTATGTACATTACCTAATCGCACGTAAAGCACGACATTATTATGAAGGATTATATTTAGTGGATAAACTGAATTATTCATCCATATACTCAATAGCGCATTATGGATGTAAATGTGTGTATTATAATATTGTAATGTAATATTCTGTGTAGCTCACAGTCAAGAGATGTTAGTAGAATATCATCCATGTAATCGATTTCGATTGTGAGAATACTACCAAATACTATACTTGTTGTCTTACTGTGAAATTTCATGTTTTCACAAGTTGGTAGGGTCGAATAGTCCTGTTGGTCAAGTGGTTACTGACCCTGACTGCTAAGCCGGAAGGACAAATATTTGTTTGATGAGCACGATCATGTGTTTTGTGTCTGGGTGTCATTTATCTATAACATGTATGAATTTAGAAATATACAAGTATTTTTATCAGTAGTCTGGTTACCATAGTACAGGCTCTGCCTAGTTGTGGATCAGACAGCCGTGTGTAAGATGTGTAAAAAAAGCTCTGGGTTGTGTATCATGACACACAAATTTGAGGTATATAACTGCCCATGGTGAAAAGCTGATCAGTGATCAACTATTCACCGTTGGCAGTAGACTTGATCAGTGATAAGCAACAATCAATTATAAAGACACAATTAAATACGTCTATCATTCTGATCATCTCCTTCTTTGTTCCAGATCCACCAACAGCACCAATGATCACCGGTTACATCCCTGGCACCACATTGTCGGCGGGGACAGTGCAAAAGCTGTCTTGTATTTCGTCAGGAGGCAATCCTCTTGCCACCCTAACATGGTTCAAGAATGACAAAAAGGTAAGTATACCAATTTTGCAAATGGACTGATAGTGAAGTTTTTAGAAGAGCAAAATCTTAAATCAAGACGAGGATCTTTTGTTATATGGGTTCCTGTATTGTATAAAATATTTTTGTATTGTGGTTGTAAATGTAGGCAATCGGCAATAGAAAACTCCTTCAAGTCCGATCTACGTCGTCCCTTCAAGCTGAAAAATACTGCAGTTTTTTCTGATGGTGATAAGTATTCATCAACAGCCTATACTAGTCCACTGCTGGACATAGGCCTCTCCTTAGAAAGGAGGTTTTGGCCTACTATACCACGCTGGCCAGACGGGTTGGTATAGGGTTTGTTTCAAGCTTTCCTTCTCTTTGCAGTGCTGTTGTCCTTCTTAGTTTGCTCCCTTAGTCGGCTCTTACGACACCCACGGGATGAATTGGGGTGGTGACAATTTGTATTCTTAATCCGTCACCACACGGACTGATAAGTATTGCAAGAACTTTATACTGATAAGTTATATTTACCTAGTCTTAAACTATTAATATACCCCACGATTTTAAAAGAATACCAGTTACAAAAAAATCTAACACTAACGAAAATAAACCACATACATTCATAAGAATTGCAAATTTTAAAAATGTAGGGTTCGAGCTTACAAAACTTGATGAGGTGGATATTATCGTTAATACTACTACAAGCTCTATAATTTTTTTTTTGTTCCAGATCCATTCAGTAACGAAACAGACAGAGCGGTCAGTATCAGCCGAGATCTCAATACTGACAAACGTAACTGACAACCAGGCGCAGTACAGGTGTGAGGCAACGAACAGCGCGACAGAGATACCCCTGTTTGAGACCGTGACGTTGAACGTTTATTGTGAGTACCAAGCGAGCGACCCTCATTCAAACTTATCCAATGTTATAAAGCGCTTTTTTTATTTGTCTTTACTGCTAATTTCTGGAGTAACAAAGTACGACTGTGTATTTTTATCACATCTGTTTAGACAAAAGGTTATTAGAGCATAGCATGCATATAATCACTGTAACTGTTGAGAAAAAAAAGTGATACCACCATTTAACGATTTTTGTAGATAAACGATAACCGATTAGAAATAATATGTATGTACTAATTAAAACAAAATCTGATCATTTTATTTTTTATAAAAAATTAGACCTAAAAAACATAAGCTAAGTAGAAAAAAAGTAGGTATTTCTAATATTTCAAAACAAGACAATCGTTCTATTTCTTAACAAGCGTAGTCGTAATAATTATTTTACAAAGAACTTCTCATTAAATTTATGACGAATTTATATCTACATTTTCAACTAAAGAGATACGTAAATTGGAGAATATATAACGACGCGAAATAACCTTAATTTTGATTATTATATCAGGACCCTAAATGACATAATTATTTTTACACAGTCGCCCCAGAAACAGTGAAAGTCCGTGTAGAACCAGAAGAACTTAAGGTTGGCATCGAAGCTACTTTGTACTGTGATGCAGCATCCAGTAATCCTCCTGCTACACTGTCGTGGTGGCGTGATGGAATACCAGTGCAAGGTCAGAATACTTTTATTCGTACTTGATTTACGTCTGATGACATTTTATTACTAAATAATAAAGACAATGTTATTTAGATTTTATTATCAAGAATGCTCTTTCTAGGTCTCCCGATGCAACAAAAGAAAGGCCTTCATGGTGGTACAGTGTCAACTATAGAATTAAAAATGAATATCACAAAGGACTTGAATGGAGCTGTCTATACCTGCCAGGCAATGAACGAGGCTCTACAAAGAAGCGTCCATGATGCTCTGGCTCTCAAAGTTTTATGTTAGTACATTTTATTTTGACCTAAAAAAGGATTCCATTGTTTCAATGATATGATATGACTGTAGCTAAATCATTTTACCCCTCCTAGATGCGCCAATATTCGACGAGACGACTCCCTACCCAAAAGTTGGAGTAGAAAACGAACAGCTAATCATTGTTCTTCGAGCTGATGGTAACCCTGGAAGTATCACATATACTTGGACCAAAGATGGTCTACCTATCACACAATCTTCCCATAGCACCGGCAGTAAGTTCACACTTATTTATTGAGATTTTTTCTGAGTTAGATATTTGTCATTAACGAGTCATTAGAATTCTAGTTAAGTATTTTTCTTCTCTTGTAATCCGTCATACATAAAAGTTAGGATTAGTCGGTGATACTCAAAAATATAGAATTATCATCAACAATATTATTATTATTAACATTTTCCTTTACAAAGACTTTTAGCTCGTTTCTTCAATGGTCGGCCGTCTGCTTGATGTCAATCCTCCTTGAGAAGGTAATTGTTACTAAACGGGATAAAGGAAAAAGCTAAACTGGGGTAGAGAATACAGATAGAGTGAAGGAGGTAGAGACTAAGATTGCTATAGCTTGAAAACCTCGCTTCGGTTACCTTAATGGTCGTGATCGCACCCCTTTTAAGTTTGCTGTGGATCATTTGACGCCACCCGTTGCTATCTACCGCCGAGTGTAGAGCATCGTGGACTGTGGTGTCGTGTCGGGCTACTACTTCGTGGTATCTTTTCATCCACTTTACCAGTGACTATTAACTAAATAAAATTATTTTAAAAGTAAAAATAATTATGGATCACATTAACATCACCAAAATTTGGACAAACCAAAATTATTTGAAAATGAAGACACGAACTAACTCAAACTGTAATCAGTTGTAACCAATAGTGAAGTTCCCCTCTCTAAATTAATTTTAGCTATTTCAAATACCAATTATACTATCAAAACATCAGTAATTTCTAATTATGATACCATATTGAATTTAACACAATCTAACAAAATTTACTGCTGCGCTACATTTATTCAAATAATAATTATACAATTAATCACTTGACTAAATATTGGGCTTTGAAATTAACTATTATTAGGTGTTAAATTCAAACAAATTAAAAGGTTTACTCAGCAAAGTAAACAATTTTGTTTACTTTATTTAAATCACTAAAATAAAGTGTTTGTTTGTTTTGTATAAATATAATGTGTAATCGTACTACTCGAATAAATTTGTATTCGGAATTTAGGACCAACTTCGGGATGTAGTAAAACTTTCAACAGCTGTTTAGTTTTTACACATACTTTAGCCGTGAACTGTTTATCTCGCAGATGTGACTTATAAAGTTATTCGATTAAGTTAATGCTAACATATCAGGTTCAATTTTATAGCCAAGTTAATCAATATCGTTTAATGTGTGCAGTAGCGACATTAAACCTTATTTCATACACAATGAAGTCAATAATATAATAATAATATTGTACCACATTCACACAACGCCATCTGAACTAAGCAGAGCTTGTACTATGGGTACTAGACAACTGATATGAATACACTTTTTTTTTGTAAATACATTCATATAAACACCCAGACCAAATCAAACATTAAAAGTTCATGCATACAAATGTTTTGACTTGAGCGGGAATCGAACCCGCGACCTTTAGAATAGCAGTCCGTTACACAAACCACTATGCCATCCTGTTTTTATCTCCTGTCTATCCTGTCTATCCATCATGTTTCTATGTATATATAAAATGTATGTATTAAAAAATAAGTATAAATGTATTTATATCAGTTGTCTAGTACCCATAGTACAAGCTCTGCTTAGTTTGGGACTAGATGTTGTGTGAATGTAGTTAAAATATATTACTATTATTATAATTAGACTGCAGGCAAGGCAAAGAAATATACAGGCATACATACCTACATATATTCGAAAACCTAACCCTCCTTACTTTATTCGGTTAAAAATTACAGTAAGTAATTAAACATACTTTAAAAAACGAACGAACTCTTTCTGTTCAGTTTAGTTTTCTATTACGAAAATTATAATCCGTCTGGATTATAATTTTCGTTACTAAGAACGTTACATTTTCGTTTTCGTTACGTTACGTTACGTTACGTTACTAAGAACAATTTGTGTGCCATTGGCACTAATTCTGTTGTTCGAAAACTCTCTAAACTAAACTAAAAATCACAAAAAAATTGTTTAGTCCTGTCAAACATCGTGTCCTATTCTGAAAACGTAATATTTGACGAGACAAAATTTTTTTTAGCGATTTTTAGTTTAGTTTGGAGAGTTTTCGAACAACAGAATTAGTACCAATGGTACACAAATGGTTCTTAGTAACGTGTCTGGATAATAATTTTCATAATAGAAAACTAAACTGAACAGACTTAAATGTATCATCATCATCAGCCTATAACAGTCCACTGCTGGACATAGGCCTCTCCTTAGAAAGGAGGTTAAATGTATGCGGTTACATAAAACCGCTTAGGAATGAAGAAACTTCACTCAAGTAACATGAATGCATGCGAGCTATTAAGTTCGCAATGGAAATTAATATAATACATGAAAACATAAAGCATTATATCAAATATTCTGATATTATTCAAATGTAATAAATATATTTAAATAAGCATATCAAGTCTTCAGAAACCTGACAGTTTGTTGAATACATATTTAAATAGTAATGTTTTTCTTTTATGTGATCAAGCAAATACAAAAAAAAGAGTATAATCTAGAACAGTTTAGATAATATTGTAAACGAATTTGTATTTTTTTTTTAACAAAGACAACTCCCGCATTAGGTAACACCCAGACTCAGAACAACAATTTGTGGATCGCACAAAGTGTAGTCCCATGTGGGGATCGAACCCACAACACTTAGCGTAGTAGTAAGCGGCGTGGCGACTGCTTAAACCACTACGCCATCCGTGCAGTCAATAATTATTAGTAGGCAGTAATTGATAATTATAATTGGTTAGTATTAAATTAATGTCTGAACCAACCCGTCTGGCCAGCATGGTATAGTAGGCCAAAACCTCCTTTCTAATGAGAGGCTTGTGTCCAGCAGTGGACTATTAAAGGCTGTTGATGTGAAGTTAATGTCTATGACCTAGTTGACTCTCCAATCACAGGACAGAAATAGGATCTTAGCTCCAACGCCATTTTCTTCCTCTGTCTTATCTGATAATGATTACATTCCTAAGATGGGCTAAGGCTAGGCAAAAAATAAAAACTTTGCAAAACCCTTTGCGAAAATTAGTGACAGAAACATTTCGCCTACCCAAATTAAAACTGGTAGATAGACAGGTGTTTATGATAGTAAGAGTAGTAAATAAATCCTCAGAGCAAATTATAAATAAATAAAATTACATATACAAACTATGAAATACGTCAAATCTATGACTGTTATTCTTTTATACATCTAAACAAATAAATAAAATTGAAGTGCCTGTTTGTAATGTCAAAATCATAGGTTTTTTTCATGCTCACACGGTTATTTGCATGATACCTATGCCTAAAAATCAGTTTTTTTTGTCTGTCTGTCTGTTCAGGGTAATCTTCTACACCGCTGGACCAATTTCGATAATATTTTACTACCATGTAGCTGTCTACATAAGCAATAACTTAGACTATTTTTCTTCTCAGAAAAAACCTTTTAAAATTTTGCCCGGTCCTGGCATCGAATCAGCTAGTGTTATATAATATTTTAATATTTAAACATGTTGTCTTTTGTTTTATGTTTAGATGATCGCATAATTTCTGAAGGCAGTATGCTGAACATGACAAGGCTATCGCGTCACGATGCTGGTATTTACACTTGTGAGGCTGTTAATTCTCAAGGAGCTGCCGTTGCTAACATCAGCGTTTCCGTGCATTGTAAGTAATTTTGAGCTCTTCGTAGTATGATTAAGGTAATATTGAATATGTTACTAAACAAACTTCCCATATCCACAGTGAAATGTTCAAACCTTGCAACACTTGTAAATTATAAAATAGCTTACACCATTTAGATAGTGATTAAATTTAATGTAAGCGAATATTCAGATTGATAAATTATCAAATGTTTTAACAGTAACAAATGTTGTGTAAAGCTAACAAAAATCTTCCAAGAATACAATATATTGACTGCTGCTTTATTAATTGCTGCTGTCCCCCTAAGTATCATCCTAACCCTAATCTGTTTGTTTTGACGTCAGCAAAATATATCCGACCACAAAGAAACAAAAGTAGGTTATGTATCACGAAAGCCAATACTGCTCTGATGCATAAAAGGATCTTTCACATAGCTGCAGTAATCTATACTAATATTATAAAGCTGAAGAGTTTGTTTGTTTGTTTGTTTGAACGCGCTAATCTCAGGAACTACTGGTCCGATTTGAAAAATTATTTCAGTGTTAGATAGCCCATTTATCGAGGAAGGCTATAGGCTATATATCATCACGCTAAGACCAATAGGAGCGGAGCACCAATGAAGAATGTTTCAAAAACGGAGAAAATTTATTACTATTGAGAGACGCAGACGAAGTTGCGCGGGTCAGCTAGTCTTTCATAAATTGCCCAGCAACTTAAAAGCATAAGATATAGGTACATTTAAGACTTAATTAAAGAAACTCCTCATTAAAAAATGTTAATATAATGTATTAAACTATAACTGTGACAATTTGTAGTATGTGTTGTTTATTCTATTCTTTATAATTCTTGTTTATTCTTTCTGATATTAAGTAGGTAGTTTGACTTTGAATATTTGACATTGTATAATCTTTCTTTAGTAATTAATTACGCTAATAATATATAAGTTATTATGTTTAAATTATATGCATGTATAAATTGAAAATTTGCACACCCATAGCGGTAAAGCACAGTGAACCTGTTTGTAAATTGAATACCATGTAATTAATATCTGTATTATGTAAATTAACAATCTGAATAAAGTGGTCATAAGATAAAATTCTTGAAACAATTGGACTTGAAATCTAAACAAGTACCTACATATAGTCAAATAGTAGGCACGCAGTCTCGGGTACCAGTTGCCGGGGAACCAGGTGTACCCTAGGAAGGAAATCCCTGATACTATCACTGTGTACCTAGAATCATACCAATATGATAATGTTTATCTCATTACTTAAATAAACCAAAACTTTTTGTTTTAGATCCAGCTAGTATTAAGTCTGTGTCTCAGCAAGAAATTCGAGATGCAAACCAAGATGCTGTGCTGTCTTGTACGGCTAACGGTAAGAAAAACTATCCTTAATTGACGGGCCTGTTGGTCTAGTGGTCAGTGGTCCTGACTGCTAAGTCGGAGGTCGTGGGTTCGATTCCCAACCCCAGGACAAATATTGTGCGATGAGCACGGTCATTTGTTCTGTGTCTGGGTGTAATTTAGCTATAATATGTATGTATTTAAAAATATATAAGTATGTTTATCAGCAGTCTGGTTACCATAGCACAGGCTCTGCCTAGTTTGGGATCAGACCTGGCCAGTGTGTGACATGTGTGAGATATATTATTATTATAAATATATCTTTATTTTTTAATTATAGAATCGCCAATTTCAAGGACGAATTGATAACTGCCAATGGTGTCACAATTCTATTTAGCTCTCAGTGTAATAAGAACAATTTAAATAACATATATTCTTATCCAAGTGCAGACTAAGAAGAGAAGAAAGTGATCTATCACTTTCTTTAGATTATTGGACTGGTTAAGTCCCAATTTTGACGACAAATATTTATAACAATTCCTGAGAATGAAAAAGTGCTATTAACGAGTATATTAAAAACAAAACTTTTTTACAGGAAATCCATTGACCGCTGACCACATCCGATGGGAACGCAAAGGCTACAAAATCAAACCTAACAATGTTTCTTTTGAACCCCGGAACTCCACTAGCTATCTTGTTGTCAAACAAGCAACGAGAGAGGATGTGGGAAATTTCCAGTGTGTCGTAGATAATGGATTGGGCAGTGAAGCCAAAGAGAGCGTGATATTGGTCGTGAAGTTTAAACCCGAGTTGGATAGCTCTCCGAGTTTAATGAAATCGGCTTCCAATGTTGGCCAAGTGGGCAGGTTGATTTGCAAGTAAGTTAGTTAATATCGTACAAGTTATATAAAGATTAACTCTATATCGTTTTGAAACAGTAACACATCCTTGTTTCCGATGAAGGATCGAATAGCTGAAAATAAATCTGACAAAATATCACACCGTACATTATTAAACACAAATTTATATTATACCTAGACTAAGCATCGTTTAGCTAAACCATTTCATTTAGTGCACCTGTGGTAGTTACAAAGTGTATTAATATTATGTCGAAATGGTCCACGGTTAAATTTAATTATTCAATAATAATCCCACAATTCACATAATAACGATTTGTGGGATTTGTATTAATTTAAAGTACGTATGATGATTTTAAGAGTATCCTAAATATTTTTTTAAATATTTTGTTGATAGTTTAAAATGTAATCAGTGGTATATTTGTAAGTTTTGAAAAGAAAGAATTATCTTTGATAAGTTTAATGAATACAATAAACATTCATTTCTATTACATATAACAATAAATTACTCTAATCACAATAAACTTCGACAATGGAGGATCTAACAAGGTTTTTTACATTTATAAAACGATTTTTTTTCGTCTCAGTTCAACATATATTATGTTAAGACTTAAGATTATTAATATTCAGAATATCTCATTCATCATCTGCCTACCCTTTTCCCAATTTTATTTGGGGTCGGCGCAGTATGTATGATTTTGCCATTCTACTCTGTCATGCGTCATCTCACTGTTTACTCCCTTCCTAGCCATATCATCCCTCACGCAGTCCATCCACCTTTTCTTCGGTCTGCCTCTTCTCTTGTACCCTTCAACTCCCATACCTAAAACTTTCTTCGCCACATTTTCCTCATCCCTCCGCATGACATGTCCATACCAAGATAACCTATTACTTCTTAACTTTTCATCCAGACTATCTGAATGCAAAAAATTCATAACTACTACAAAAAATTCATAACTACTACTATAAGACCTTCAAGCTTTTTGAAATCATATAAAATCTCTTTCTAGGAAATTCCAAGAGATTTACACAAAAAAAAAATGTAATAAATATTTAGTCCTTGTACACATGCAGTCCTAACATTCACAGCTTTTAATCCTCACATGCCTAAAGAAAAAAAATATATACACCACATTTATACTACGCGTCCTTTTCAGATGCAAATCAGCACCCGCACCCAGCTTTACTTGGTCCAAGAACGGTGCAAAGCTACCAGTGAATACGTCGACCAAGTATTTTGCAGAATACCATAAGTTAGATCCCATTACGTACACGTCAGTTTTACTGATAAATGATATATCGTCTACTGATTACGGCTCGTATGAATGTGGCGCTAGAAATGACTTGGGATTCTCAACGACATCTGTTAAATTGGATGTTACTAGTGCACCAGGTGAGCTTTGTTTTTGGTTTTTTGTTCTTTGTTTTTTTAAAAAGACAACGCCCGCATTAGGAATATATTCCTGTGTCGCGGGGGACTTTACAAACACACATGAAACGGACACAAAGAACACCCAGACTCAGAACAACAATTTGTGGATCACACAAAGTGTCGTCCCATGTGGGGTTTCAACCAACAACACTCGGCGTAGTAGGAAGCGGCGTGGCGACCACTTAAACCACTACGCCATCCGTGCAGTCAACTGCGTTTTGTTTTATCTTTATCTTACATTTTACCGTAGGATTGATCCATCTCCTTTCTATTTTTTTTTCTACAGTATCTATTTAAAAACTGACTTGGAATAAAGGTTTTTGGTTCTATTTTTATTAGTAGTGTAACCGATTCACAAAATTCGGTTATAATACACGGTTACACTAGTTTAAATAGTAGGTTTAAATTATTATTTTCTTCACATGCATCATAAACTATTTTTAATAAATTACAACATTTTCTTTTTGTTTTATGCTCCCCAAATATTATTTAAATTGTAATATTATTTATATTTTTACACGTTCTGAAAGAGTACTCTACTCTACTCTACCGTAACTCTAGCTATTCTAATTATTTTCCACATTGCCGCTATTCTCACATTAAGTACTTATAAAACTGGCAGAATAACATGTTGAATGATAGTACTAATATGCGGTGTACAGAAAATCCTAGCCTTACCGACCTCGTATAACTTTAATAAATTATAGCACAGCTAATTTCATATATATGTGTCTAAGAGTCCAAATACCTCACCATAATTTAAATTTTAGCCTCAAATACATTGCAATAATCAAATTTAATATTATATGACGCCTAATGGTAACAATTTTAATTTAAAGTTAATATATTTAAATTGTAACTTTAATTTTACGCTCTGAATTTTAATTCATACATAATATTGGATTTAGAAAACATTTTTGAAAAATACATTTAAAAAGGCACTGTCTACACTGTTGACAAAAGAAAATAATATTTATTTCTAATGCTTGTATTAATGTTGTCTTAGTAACGTCTTTTTCTTAAATAAAACTCTTTGTTTAATAATCTATGTTAGCCTTTACATTCACAGTTATTATATCAGACATAACTAATCATCTATTCTTCAATGACGTCAAAAACTCTAACACAATTTTTTTACATTGCATATACACGTCCAATACAGTATAATTTTATATTACAGATCAAGTGATATCGTTAATGGCGACCAACGTAACCCACAATACTGTTACTCTGCAGTGGGTGCCAGGATTTGACGGAGGTCTACCTTCCTGGTACAGGGTTAGATACAGGTAAGATTTTGCGTATAGTTTTATGTTCTGGTTACTAACAAGTCCTAATCCTAAACAACACTTAACAAAATAAAGGATTTTGAATGTAGTCCTGACTTCAGTTCTCTGAACAGAACCCTGGAACATTACGTATTTACGACCTAGAAGTAAATTCAACTTTAAGTTATCAAACGAACTTTGAAATTTCATTTACATGTTAATGTTCAAAAACTTATAATATAACTTTCAACAGAAGGATTAAGATGTTCTCTTAAAACAATTCTGAAAAGATATATTTTTTCCATCAATTCTGTCTTATAATATTATTAATAGATAGTACTTACAGGTTGAAACTGTAATTTTTGATAGTGTAATTAAAAAGATAAAACTGGCTATGTTATTCGCACAGTACTGCGTCAACTTACATGCTGTTAATATAACACACTTCAAAGATTTCAATTACCAGAAAACTTTATTGAAACCTCATAAAGTTTGAAACTAGAGCTAATTTCATTTATCCGTGACCAGCCTCTAACTGTTAAAAGTTAAGTTAGGAATTCTTAGTTTTAAGATTTCTAACAATATACTAAATTTCAGGAGAATTTATGAAGAATCATACAAATATGAGGACGTAACACCAAGAAATGCAACCACATTCACAATCGGAGGGTTAGAAAGAAACACAGATTACGTTTTCTCAGTGATGTCTATCAACAAAATAGGTCAAAGTAAATACAGACCCGATGACACCAAAGTTACAACACTGAGTAAGTTCTAACAGTTACTTTTAATTGGACTTTCTTTAGTGAAAGAACTCCAAAGAACTGTTATGAAAGTTTTCTGAAAATCACAAAAGAAATAATCTTTTGAAAATAGATTGTAATTCATTGCTGACAACATAAGAATTTTTGCGATTAGCAATGCGTATCGCATTACTAATTTTTTGTTAAATGCCAGATCATTCATGAATTCAAATCTCTTGGAAGTTTATAAAGAATTTTAAATAGTAAGGTTCTTACAAGCCAAGTGAAGAATTTCTTTTTAGTATGTTAATATTTTACTATAATATACTTAACTCCTCGAGTATTCTGTGAAAAGATCATTTTTCACTTGATGTAAATGAACTATGTACCTTCTTAAAAGATAAACATAATTGGTTTGAATTTTTCCACGCTGCATTAGACATGATCCCCTCATCAATACAATCATCTTCAGAAGAATATAACTATAATGTCCCCGGAGTCTTTATCATAACTGGTACCATCGTTGGTACAGCATTGATACTATTGAATGTATTGCTGATTGGATTCTGTCTTCATAAACGGACAAATAAGAGGATAAGAGGTTTGATGTCATCAGAATTTTCTAAATTGTTTTGATGTTTTATTGCAAAAATATTTGTGTAGGATTATATGTTTAGTTTTTTTTTGCATGAGATGGTTTTAGTATTGTGTCAGTATAAATCATAAGTATTACTATCACTGGTCTGGTATACATCAAGATATACACTTAAATTTACATGCACCATAAGGCACGATAACTCAGGGTGAATATACCTTGTCTTGGTTGGGTCAAAGCTACCATTATGTTTGATGTATTGTATATTAGTAATATATATTTTTATCTTTACTGAAACATTCAAAACTCATAGGTTAGCTTTGATAATTACCTCACTAATATTTCCAGTAGTAACTAAGTTAAAAATAGAACAAAATGATATAACTAGGAATTAAAACAACGTAACATAAGTTTAAAAAAGACTCAGTTTATTTTAAACAAAATTTAAATATTACCAAAATTTTCTGATAAAATGATGTATGCTTGAAACTTTTCGCCTTTGACATCTGCAAAGAGATTCTTTTACAAAATAAAATATCACCAGGACAACAGAAGTTACAATTCCAGCGAATTTTTCATGGCGCCCTTGACTGAAATATAATTTAACGGACTCTTTGTGAAAGCTAAAGTGCTTTCATCTCAATGGCAGATATGCTTTTAAATATAATACAGTTGAGAAATACTACCTGACTATAAGAGTCATTTCACACGGTTCACAGTAGTAACTCAAAAATGTTTTAACGTTGGTTTGTTTTTAGTCCTGATAAATATGGTATGGAAACTTCTTTTGTAAACGTTTTTCCTTTTAGGTTCAGTCCATAACGAGATGGTGCACAGTGTAGGCATTATTATCTTCAGACACAACAATGAAATTTCACATGATTTTTTAGCTACTCATTACGCCAAATTGTATACTGACACAATAGTACAACTCATCTTCGTAAGTCACTGTTAATTTTACTTTGCTAATTGTTTTTATTTTCTCCTCTCCCCAAAGCTTCATCGGAAGTAGGCGAACTGAACGTGGTATCTACAGAATATGTGGAAACAGCTGATGTATCTAAATCTGTAGTCATATACGTGTCAATCACTGGCGTTGTTTTAGTGTTGATTAATGCTGCTTTAGTTGCATGCTTTATATTGAAAAGGCGATCTAGAAGGCTGAAAGGTAAATTTTTATTACTTTGACATTTGTTATTTTGCATGATATTTATACTGCGATTTATTTTGATTTGAGTCAGACACATAGAGCTGTATCTTAGTTAATCGTATTCAGCTGTGGTATTTTGTTTAAGTAAATATAATGTCAATATATACCAACCCGTCAGGCCCTCTATTTTTTACCGTGTGGAAACCTCCTAGGGCCCACCGGGGTTTACGGCGTTGTGGTATGTCGGAATCGGACCGACCACACGGTGTGCCACTCTGCGTCTGTAATAGGAGGAATTCGGGGGGCCTTATACCAACCTGTCTATATAACCGGTATAGTAGGCCAAAATCTCTATTCTAAGCAGCGGCCTATGTCCAGCAGTGGACTACTGTAGGCTGTTGATGTGATGATGTGAAAGGTAATATATTATATGGGAAGGTGGCTGAAAAACATCAGCGACGAATATTTATGTTCCGATATCCAATATCGGGTCATAAATATTCTCATTGAGGTACCGGAAGGTCTCTGTAGCTGGTCTCTGTAATGGGTGTTAAAATTTTGTTCTTTTTAAAAAAAGAGCTCATGTTCAAGTCTTCTAAGACGAGAAGTTATCTTTATAACAATATTTATTGAATACTATTTTACTTATTCGTTAATTTAGTATTTGGATGTATCAAATGAACTTATAAAAAATAACCTCTTGTATTGTAGTAATTTGCGAGATATCAGTAAAACAATGTTTTATTATTTTGTCCTTTGAAATAAATTCTACTGCTTCTAGCATCGTCTGACCTTCACAGAACAAAACTGATGTAGAAACATTCCTATCTTAGTTTTACTTTGTATACAATATTAATTAAGTTACCTTAGGACAGGAATTTTGAAATTCATGAATTTAGTCTTCTTCAGGTAACGTTGAATAGTCTTTACTTTAGTTACTGTCATTAAAATAACACATTTCAATATAGAACCCTGTTACCATAATATTGGTGAAAAATCTTAAATGTTTAGTTTCTTTCTGTCAAAGAAAGTTTCGTATTTTAATACCCATATTATATACATGCTTCGGCACAAAAAATGCAAAATTCGTGATTAAAATGCAATGATTGATTGAGTGTTTAGTATATGTAAACAAAAAACTCACTTTCATAAATATAATATTTTAAAATAAGGCATTAAAAGCTATTGATGTACTTGAGTTAGTAGGTTTGAAAATTTGCATTGGCCATATTAAAACTTACATACACGTGGAATGGTAAAAACTTGATTAGAACGTTATAGAAAATATATATATTATTATTATAGTAATAGGAATCATTCTTAGAATTTTTACACTTTTTGCGTATGAAGGAATGTAAAATTGAAATATTTACATAAAAGAAGAGCAAAAAGCTTAAACTGTGAAACAATATCCGTTTTCATTTTGCGAAAACTATTAAAAAAACTATAAAACTTAAATATTTCTATGGACCTGTTATGGTACGAAATATCCATATATTGAGAGTTCAGATTACGCTGGTATTTATATCATATATATTATTAAAAAAAATATTTAAAGTAAACTATAGTTGGTGATATTTTCAAAATTAAATATCAATTTTCATTATACTCAGTCGCTCATAAAATACAACGTAATACCATGTTACCGAATAAAGCCAAGGTCTTATTAGATTCAGACCCAAGAACAGTGGCCATCATAGTTAATAATATAAATTTTAGGGAGTAGGAGAGATAATTAGAATTAATTAAACGTTAACTGGCTTACACTATAATGTAGTAAATTTATTTGATTTTAATATAATATTTAGGCAGTTTTATAAATATTGCAGGGGTCTATTTATAAATTAATATTATCTTCACACATCTTAGACAAGGCAGTTAGATCTCAAACTAGACAGAGCCTGTACTATGGTGACCAGACTGCTGATGAACATACTCACGTATTTCTAAATACATGCGAGTACATGTCATAGAAATATTATACCCAGACATATTTTGCCTCAGTTAGTACCTTATAAGATGATTTAACTGATAGGAAAAACCGCATCAAATCCGTTGCGTGGTTCAGGAGTTAGCGAATATACAGATAGGGTAAAGCGACTTAGTTTTATACTTTAAAAGAAGCAAGAAAAAAAACACTATTCCACGGAATCTTGCATTTGGAAATTGTTAAGATTGTTTAGACGGCATTTCGAAGAGGGAATCGACATTCTTTGTACGATTCAAGGGGTTTTGTACAATTACATTCTTAGCCTTTTTAGCAGCTCTGCTTGCAAATGCTAAAGCATTCCTATCCTGACACTACAAAAGGGTTATTAAAATTTTAGAAAGAAATTCAATTTAATAGATCTATATATCGTGAATTTATTGCGTCAAAGACGTCGAAAAGATTTATGTTACGTGTTAAAGAAAAGAAAATATTTGCCAGATAAAATCCATGATCATACAATACGTACAAAAGAATTTTACAAATTTTGATTGAAAGTGTATCTATACGTAGACATTCCGCAAAACGATTGCAGACTTGTCATTCATAAATGTAATTCTGCACAGCCCTCTGATCAGAACCCCCCAAAATATGCAGAGCCTTTACTATGGTATTGACGACCGAATGGCGTAGTGGTTTGTGTAACGGACTGCTATTCCAAAGGTCGCGGGTTCGATTGTCAAGTCAAACATTTGTGTGCATGAACATTTAATGTTTGATTTGGTCTGGGTGTTTCGATGTATAATAAGTATGTATTTACAAAAAAATAAAAGTATATATGTATTTATATCAGTTATCTAGTACCCATAGTACAAGCTCTGCTTAGTTTGGGACTAGATGGCGTTGTGTGAATGTGGTACAATATTATATTATTATTATATATCAAGATTACTAATCATGACGTAACCAATTCACGCAGATAAACAATACAGACCCGTCTAAATACCCGAAATTATTCGTATATTATAAGTATCTACTAATTGATAACAGAAATTAAGTAGATACAATAACGCAAATATTATTGTGATTGATGATTTATTAAATTAATAAAAAGGTCTAACAAGAATCTATAAGCTCCAATAGAAATTAAATCTTTCGAAATGTGTCAGTCAGGTGAATAAATAATTAGAAGGCTTTCATTACAACAATAAACAGTAGCAGTTTCATTTTTTTCTTTATTATTACTGTTTACTGTATGTTGTAATAAATTGTCTGGAATTGGACGTGAGTTTCATTAAAGCGGTACAAAAATTGTTTGTTGTTCACTCGTATTTGACTCTTTAGGATTATTTCTTGCAATTATGAACATATTTATTAAACAAACTGAATTTAAATCGGTCAACAGGCCTATTGAAATTCTGTTAACATAATTATTTTGTTATAGAATGTATCATCATCATCATCATCGTCAACAGCCTTTAATAGTCCACTGCTGGATATAGGCCTCTCTTAAGAAAGGAGGTTTAAGACTGTATCAGTTTTGATTATATTTACGAGTAATATTGATCCTAAATGCTAATCCAGAGTTCATGGATTCGATTGACGCCCCGGACAACTCTCATCATTTGTTCTATGTCTGGGTGTAGTTTCAATTTAATGTGTATTTATGTAGAAATATATATATATATATATATATAGTATAATTATCAGCAGTCTATTTAGTATAGTACAAGCTCAGCCTAGTTTAGGATCTATGAGCCATATGTAAGCTATTTTGCCAAACTGTTATTATTATTGTAATCTACATCGCTATGTGATTTACTTCTTACTGATTGAAACAGGCTTTTTATCTACAAATTTGTTTTTTTTGTGAATGATAAATCCAAATGTGCTCTAAATGTTTGTTTTAGCTTCCCTTATACTTGTAGCATAATACTTATATTTGAAAACTTTTTATATCAAAGAAGTAAAGGCTTTACTACCAATTATTTCCCATAAAAATTAAAATAAATTCATCTTCACAGAGCAAGCGGGTCAAGCTTCAAAATCAGCCACCATAGAAATGTACGCTCCATCCTCATACAATGACACCATGACGGGCGAAACTCTCAGCTCTGTCTCCGAAAAGTCGGAGTACTCACAAGATGATGGAACTGATGATAGACAACCTCCGCCCATACCTGAAGTTCCGAGTATGCCGACCAGGCATATGTTAAGCCAGGTGAGTGAGGAAAACTAGAGTATTAGATGTCAGGATATTGAGTATAATAGACTTACTTATTCTGAATTGGAATATTCTGGAACTTAATACAAAATCGCGTTGCGCTACTTTGGTTTCCGAGTCACGTACAATTAGATTTCTTATTTTGGTTTATAACTGTTGGAAACTTTTACGAACCTTTGGGAAAGAGACTAAGGCTTATGTAAGTCTTAATGTAAATCAAATACCATACTTTCTTTTTATCAGACAACGGATGCTTTTCTCATGGACGACCAGGGTCTAGTAATCCCTCCACCTCTGGATTATCCTCCTCCAAACTATGCTGTGTACGACGCTGATCATGCTCGGACGTTGCCACACCCACACAGGCATAAGGATATCAGTGGACATAGCACGTTGGGAAGAAGTTCTGGTAAGTATATCACTAATAAAAGAACGACTAGAATACAAAAGCATAATTATTATTACTATTTTCCTAAAAAATAAGAAAATGGAGAAGTGGTACAATAAAAATTAGCTACATAGGTAAAAAAAAGAAAAAAAAGAAAATTTCGTAAAAAAAAATGTTTTGCTGTTTACATAAATGAAAGAAAATTGCCAATTGCAGTTCACTGATGCTGCATTGCCCATGAAGAGAAGCATATTTTTTTCTATTGACACCGGTTCACCTAGCTCTCCGTTTTCCTTAATTAGGTCTATCTAGTGTCGGTAGTTTGAGTAATATTCAATGCTTTGTCTACAGGTAAACAGAACTATGTACCGGCTCCTAGTCCAATGCCTCCTTTAGATGGTTCCTACTACAACATGTCGTCCGACAGGTACCTTTCGTACCCGCCGCTCATTGGAGAGTATTTACAACAGGTAAAAAATTTTTTAGTAAAAAAAACGAAATTACTGAAGAGTCAGTTTTACTGAAATGAAGGATGCACGTATGGCGTAGTGGTTTAAGTGATCACCTCGCCGCTTCCTACCGCGCTGAGTGTTGTGGTTTGGGACAACACATGGGACAACACTTTGTGTGATCCAGAAATTGTTGTTCTGAATCTGGGTGTTCTTTCTTTGTAAAGTCCCCCGCGACACAGGATTTATTCCTAGTGTGGGAGTTGTCCTTTTAAGAAAAAAAAAGAATCTCCCAATTCTGCCATTAGTTTTAAAGGGGCACGAGCACACTTTTCTTCTCAAGTGTGCCATACCTAAAGCAATGGTTGGTTGGTTGGTTTTCCAATACTGCTTATGGTTCTCAAGACATGAAAAATGACTGTAATGGTACCTAACGGTTTTGTTATACACAATATACTGTATATTGTAGTACTGATTTTCATCATCTGTCATGCTTATGCCACACGTACAATGTACCTTTCTTTTATAAAAGCAAAAATATAAAGGACCTCATCAGCATGTAACTGGTGAAATGACTTATTTCTAATCCATCATTTTTTCTTTAGCAACAAGGCCGTACTCCAACCCCGCCCCAGCAATATGGCCAACCGCTGCCAAAGCCTCATCTCATGAACGGAGGTCTCTCCAGCGGATCTCCCTCACACATGGCTAGCCCACCGCACTCCTATGCTTTGGATGGTAAGTTCGTAATATTGTTTAATTCTTGTCAACTACCAACTTTATCGAAAAGTCTGGAGCAATAAATCCCTTTGCATCCTACAAGTTTATTCGATTTCCTTTATAGCTTATCATTTGTGGAATACACTTCTTCTTCGCCATGAATTTACTAATAAAAATAGTTACCTAATGTTAAAAGGCGTTCAATTATATTATATTTGCATTGCGTTTCAACGTGTTTATAATACTTGATCAGTAAAATAACTTTATCTTTAGACAGATCAGCTGGTGGCACTTTAAGACGTCAGCGTATGGACAAGATGGCGACCGTACCACCGCCTGACGTCACTGTACTGCATCAGGGGAACTGTGGGCAGGTATGATACATTTTTTATTGTTCTATTAATACCATACAGACTATCAATAACAAATCAGAAATCATCATCTGCCTTTATCAGTCCACTGCTGGACATAGGCCTCTCCTTAGAAAGGAGGTTTTGGCCTACTATACCACGCTGGCCAGACGGGTTGGAATAGGGTTTGTTTCAAGTTTTCCTTCTCTTTGCAGTGCTGTTGTCCTGCGTAGTTTGCTCCCATAGTCGTCTCTTACGACACCCACGGAATGAATAGGGGTGCTGGCATCCCGTGTACTTAATCCATCACAATGGTCGAATGGTCAGATATACCACATAGAAAATATACTACGAAGTATACCAATATAAAATATTTTATTGGTCACACACCATCCCTAAATTTTTTAAACCTTGGACTAATAACAACGGTCAAATGATTCAGGGTAGACACACATAAATGCTATATTATAAACATAAAGAGATTTAATAGAGCAAGATATTGGAGATTAACTCAAGCGCAATATCAAGGATGTGGCCCTTCCACATCAAACCTGCGTGAATTCTATGAACCCACATCTCAACAAAGAAGGTTGGGGTACCTTCATTATTTCAATTTCCTATAAAATATCAACTAAACCATAAACTTTATTACAATTAGGGTCACGATATGATTGGACCCGATATACTTGCGCTTGGCTGGTGATCATTCAGTAATATTAATCATTTATGAATGAATAATTGTTCACAAGAGCGAACAATTTGTAGGGCAATCAGAATCAAATGTCGGAAATTGATGTAACGTTTTCCTTTTCATACGATTTAGTTAACAAATAAGTGTGACTGTGATGGCGAGAGTTCAGTCACGCTAAAATATTTTGCGATGACCGATGATTATAGTGGCCAATGCTAATAGGTCTTTACCTATGAAATTGCCGTTTTGTATGCAATAAGTGAAAGTACTTATTTTTTCAAACTTTTTTATTTCTGTTATTCGAAGTAATCACCTATGCAATCGACGCATCTTTTCCAACGCATTGTCAGTTTATTGATGCCCTTCTTGTAAAAATCAGCTGGACGGGAGGCAACAAACTCTTCAATGGCATTTTGTACTGCCTCTCGGGCATTGAATTTTTTACCCACTAAAAAGTTGTCTAAATTTTGGAAAAAGTAATAGTCGGTAGGTGCAAGGCTATTTATTTTCTATTTTTTAGTTTGGTTTTCTATAGAAAGCGTGTTTTTTAGTTTTTTAAGCTATAATTTTTTTATATAAAAGATTAAAAAAAAAAAAAAAATAGCGCATTGGAGAATGTTCGACACTAGTTGTATGTATTTTTTATTCGTGTATTTGTATATATATGTTATATGTTTAACATTCTTCGAATTCATTCATTCATTCTTTGAAATTCGGTCTTGGGCGGTGAGGGAAGGGAGTCTAAGGCGGCGTTGCGTGACATAGATGGCGGTAGTCACTTACCATCGAGTGACCCGTCTGCTAAGTAGCTCCTTTACATCCATACTTATATCAGAAATGTGACAGTGAGTTTGTTTGTTACGCTTTCACGCCTAAACCACTAAACCGATTTTTAAATTTCTTTCACCCATGGAAAGCTACATTATCAGCGACTAAGATAGGCTCTTGTTTACTTTGATAACCGACATACACATCACATTACACATAGACAGCCTTTAATAGTCCACTGCTGGACATAGGCCTCTCCTTAGAAAGGAGGTTTTGGCCTACTATATCACACTGGCCAGACGGGTTGATATAGGGTTTGTTTCAAGTTTTCCTTCTCTTTGCAGTGCTGTTGTTCTGCGTAGTTTGCTGCCTTAGTCGGCTGTTACGACACCCACGACACGCTTGACAAAGCTGGTACCTATCTAAGATTACTATAAAGAACCATGGTTATAACACTTTATAAAATAGTTAATACAATTCATTTAAATGAGCTGTTAAAAGCGTATTGATTGAAGTTGCTCGCCATTACCTTTTAGTAGTTAATGCTATGTGTACAATATTTACAATATTTAATTAACAAAGTCCTGTAATAGTCACAAGTAAGTATTACCCGCGGCCTCGATTGTATCTTATTTCGTGTTTCTAACTTTAAGAATAACGAACTACCAGACAACCGTTCATCCCTTATTTTAACTCCTTAGGGTTGTAATTTATAAAATCCTTTCTTAGTGAGTGTTTACAACATATAAAGCATCTTCTGCCAAAATTTCAAGTTTATAGCCCTGGCGGTTTAGGCTTAGTTTTGATTAATCGGTCAGGGCAGGTATTTTAATATGTACAGATTATTGGAGGTAACGTATTTTTATATGTATCTAGAGTAGCTTATCTTAGTCTCTGATAATATAGATTTACATGGGTGGATAAATTTTTAAAATTGGTGTAGTGTTTGAAATACCTCCATACTAAGGAGAGGCCTATGTCCAGCAGTGGACTATTAAAGGCTGTTGGTGTGTGGTGTGGTGTGTTTGTAGTGTTTTAGGCGTGAAAGAGTTACAAACAAACGAATTCACTTTCACATTTATAATGTAAGTATGGATAGCTGTACCTTGCCACGGTTCGCTGTGGGACATTGTGATTGCATTGATAAGAAGTAAGGAATAAAACTGCCATGAAAAATAGACAAAAACCATCTTTGAAGCCGGTTGTATATCGTGTTAAATTTGAGCTCTATTGATGCAGAACTTATTGAGTTTTTGAAGCGTACACGAAGCAACTTAACATTTTTATGTGAATAGATATAATTATGTTTAACTAGGAATTAACATGATCATGCACTATCGTTATAATGTTGATTTAATTCAATCAATTTTTCTATGGTATAAAGGTCAAAAAGACCACACGAAACAGAGAAGAGTGGCGATTGCTCCACCGACAAGCGCTATGCTCTTAAATGGAGAAAGAGAAAGAGAGAGAGAAAGAGAGAGAGAGAGAGAGAGAGAGAGAGAGAGAGAGAGAGAGAGAGAGAGAGAGAGAGAGAGAGAGAGAGAGAGAGAGAGAGAGAGAGAGAGAGAGAGAGAGAGAGAGAGAGAGAGAGAGAGAGAGAGAGAGAGAGAGAGAGAGAGAGAGAGAGAGAGAGAGAGAGAGTAGTATTTTTTTACGATGACGATACCTGATACTAAGTGATTACCTTCGCCCCTGGATATCTGCTACTCTAGAGTCACAAATGCGTTAGATAGATAGATAGATAACTCTTTATTGTACAATAAAACATAATAATATTACAGAGATGGTGAGTTGCAATTTGTAGATCGGAGTTTTCTGAGTATTTTGTAATTGAGACTTAAGACTAATGGACTGAAGACTATGCGTTACCGCCGTTTGAGGTTTGGGAACCGGTAATTTCACACACTTGGTGCAGTGAAAGCAGCGAATAATTACGTTGTGAGGCCAAGGTAGCACTTAAATTGAGCCGGCCCAATTATTCTGAAACATGGCATCCTCACAAATTTTCACGTTTATAATATACATGAGATAAACTAATTTTAAATATGTATTTCTTAGTGTTTAATGAATAAAAATACAGTGGCACTCCGGTAGTGCCGACAGATGTGAAAATTTGAAAGTTTTTGATTATAACAAGCAAAATCTTTGTTTTTTTTTCGATTAGAAAAGTTTCTACATGAATATATACATCTGTATATAGATCTATATATACACTAGCTGACCCGGCAACCGTTGTATTGCAAAACAAAAAAAAATTAGGGATGGGTCACCCTTACCATTTAGGGGTATGAAAAATAGATGTTGGCCGATTCTCAGACCTACCCGATGTGCACACAAAATTTCATGAGAATCGGTCAAGCCGTTTCGAAGGAGTACGGGAACGAACATTGTGACACGAGAATTTTATATATAAGAAGATATATGTACGTATACTCGTATCCACAATATATGTTTACATTATATGTAGTATATTATCCAATGTAGTATATTATCCAATGTATTTCAACCCAAATCAACTCTCGTGTAACCGGCGCCAATATGTGTAGATGCTCACATATATTTTTTTACATCTCAAAAAATACATTATTTTGTTTGTTATTCGGAAATGCCTAAGGCGCCTAAAGAAGTCTTTACTTCAAAATACAATATGATCGCACACGCAAATTTTTTATCCCTATTACTTGGTTAATTGACACTCCACCACTGTGCGCTTTTGAAGACACTTTTTGCCTCGCACATCCAATCTGTAGAAAAGTTATCGTCTACGGTATTTACGGACTCATACAACCTTTAAACCTTCAAGATAAGAGCGTACTCCTTCTTCAAAGGAAGGCAATGACTCCTGAGATGCAGGCGTTCATGAGCGGTGGTAGTCAGGTGATAAAAAAAATATATTTTTATGGTGGAAAATAATTTCCAATTATTTTGAAAGGATCACTAAATTTATTAATTAACATTTTCACGCTAAGCCTTTAAGGCTTCACTTAGAAATAACGGTCAAAACAAAATTAATTCAACAAACTCTTAATATAATCATAAATACTAGGAGCTGTTCCAACACTTTTGTCATTCCGAAAAGAGCGCGAACGATTTCTTAATTTTGATTAATTAACAACAATCTCCAGTTTCAACTTAAATCCCGGGCATTTCAATCTTCCAGAACTTTCCAATGGGTTCTGAAATTCCAACTTTTTGCTGCAAAACTTTGTCATTTTACTTCTAAAATGTAATTGAGCGAATGCCGTAAGAAACTCGTGCGTGACTGAAATTCTATGAGCGTTCTTTATTAAAATAGGTATGCACCATTGTAATAACAAGGTCATGGGTTCTGTAGATAATTTTTTGGTGTAATGGTGATGGATAGTAAATTATTAATTTTACTTTTGCTTTTGAAATTATTCCTATACCAATTTTTTTTAAAGGTCTTCTAGCAACTGAAATTACTAGTATTATGGTTAACCCCTCCAGCTAAGCTAAATTGCCTGTGTTAGGAGTGGGTTCACGTCTGTAGTGGACTAGTCAAGATTGGAACCCATGACCTATTGATCGGAAGTTAAACGCCTTAACCACTAGGCTACAGCCGCTTTAAAGTGATGTTAAGTAGTAGTATTATACAGTACGCTAGTTGACTGTGAATTCAGATCATTTTACACTTAGTTTTCTGTATATCGGTGTAGAAAGTCATTAAAAATTATAATTTGAACTTAATAGCTAACCAAATGAGCACGGATGGCGTAGTGGTTTATGCGCCGCTTCCTACTACACCGAGTGTTGTGGGTTCAAACCTCACAAGGGACGACACTCCGTAAATTGTTGGTCTGAGTCTGGGTGTTCTTTGTGTCCGTTTCATGTATGTTTGTAAAGTCCCCCGCGACACAGGATATATTCTAAATACGGGAGATGTCTTTAAGAAAAAAAAAATGAAAAGTCTCCGTCACTATTTCCTTTATTAAACCATATCTACTAAGCTCAATGAAGTTACATCTGGCTCTATCATATCACACCACCTTCAAGACGCTACATTAATATTATTCATTCCAAACAAAGTTATACATACAGTTACATAGGCGGTGCCTTCCACCTGTAACCTAACCGAATTGTAAAAATATCACAATTTATTTGAAGTTCTTTTAAGATTTGGGTGCAGATTTTTTTTTTTTTTTTGGTAAAGACCACTCTCGCAGTAGGAATATATCCTGTATCGTGGGGGACTTTAACAACGTAACGGACACAAAAGATTAAACTCACAAAAACCTGTTAAAAGAGAACAAAATAATGAATAAATACTTTTAATGAATCGCATAACACTTACTCATATAGAATTCATTAATTACCAGACGTATCCTGGCACGCTTCGCTGTGGCACATTGTGTTGGCATTGATGAGAAATAAAGAACAACACTAACACGAAAAATAGATGAAAAAATCTTTGAAACGAATTGTACCTTTTCCCTTTCTACCTAAAAAGAAGGAAAACTTGAAACAAACCCTTATTTTTTTTTTTTTTTACGTGTGGAAATCCCCTCGGACCGTCACCCCACCGGGGTTTGCGGCGGGGTGGTGCGTCGGACTCGGACCGACTAAAACCACACGGTGTGCCACTCTGCGCCTGTAATGTAATAGGATAGTAAAACAAACCCTATACCAACCCGTCTGGTCAGCGTGGTATAGTAGGCCAAAACCTCCAAAACATAACGTTGTCTCTTTCATACGCAAGTTAAACGGATGGCATTACGTTAATGATGTCTTCTAATCTAGTGTGTGTAATATAATATAATAAACTAGCTGAGACCCGCAGTGTTACCCGCGTTTGTTGTTATAACCGCGGGCAACGCGGGCGAAGCTAGTCTAAGTTAAAGTAGCCTAAGTTACTCCTTATGTCATCAGCTATCTGCCAATGAAAGTCCCGTCGAAATCGGTATAGCCGTTCCAGAGATTACCCGGAACAAACAGACAGACAGATAGACAAAAATTGAAAAAAATGTTATTTTGGCATTTGTACTGTGTAAACATACATATGCATTTAGTAAAAAGCGGTTATTTTAATATTACAAACAGACACTCCAATTTTATTTATTTGTATAGATAAGTTTAGGCAGGTAACCCAAAATTGCCAGCTTGATATTCAGAAATCATGGTTTGCATGAACACAGCAGTGGTAGGTGTACCTACATATTTAAGTTTTCGTGTAGTAGGTAATGTAGGTAGGTAGTTTCTATTGATTTTCTGTAAACTAAATAAAACGAAACATGTCGTCAGGTGACTAAAAATTGCCCACATTGAAGTGTATAACACAGTTCTTTTATTTTTGTAGGTGAGTTTTCAACCGTTTAAAATGATTTATTTGGGGTTTAAACCGGCAACATTTTATTTAAAACGTTTTAAATCGGTTGTTTTACATTTATAGTGTTAGTCCTATTTGAATTCATAGTTAAAATTCTACCTCTAACGGTAGATTTATTATTTCATTTCATTACTATTTATTTAATTTATTTACTTCATACATACTTTATTTACTTCACTAAAATTCTTTTTTTTTTAAATAAGTTAAATTTCCTTTCCTTTCCTTTCCGTGTGGTGACGGATTAAGAATACGGAATGTCACCACCCCGATTCATCCCGTGGGTGTCGTAAGAGCCGACTAAGGGAGCAAACTACGCAGAACAACAGCACTGCTAAGAGAAGGAAAACTTGAAACAAACCCTATACCAACCCGTTTGGCCAGCGTGGTATAGTAGGCCAAAACCTCCTTTCTAAGGAGAGGCCTATGTCCAGCAGTGGACTGTTATAGGCTGTTAAAATTACAACAAAACTATGTTTTCTTTGCCAGCCTCGCAATGTATGAATGTCTGAGAATTGTATAATATTTATATTACCTGAATATGTCCCCCGAATTCCCAGGATAAGCCAGCCTCCGGAAATTGCGTTCACGTAACTTCCGACCAATAACGTAAAAAGTAATTTTACTTCAGAAATAGAAGCGAAAATACATTCTGATATAATATAAACACATCATCATTTAATTGCATTTAATTAACATACATTTGTTTATAATAAATAACTGCAAATTTGCCTACAATGCAACCAAAATTATCTTATACGGCCATATGTCTCAACTTTATATATATCCTATAAAGTACCGGATACTCAATGAGACTATTGAAAAGTGGAAGTACTTGGGTATCGAACCCTGTCTAACCACCAACCACCAAACCAAAGTCGCTCCTAGAAGCCTGTGAACGCCCCAGGAGGCTTCTGCGCTTCTGGAAGGAGCTTGGCTGGCTCACCTAGTGAACCAATCCTCGACGCATAAAGGACCACTCTGAGTCTAAATGCGGAAACCGAAGCCCACAACCAATACCAACCAACCAATACCTGTCTAACCACTTTACTTAAATATGAAAAACAAACATCTGACTAAAACTGTTTTTTTAACAGATAAATTTATAAAATATCAGGCATAACTTTGTGGGTAATTTATTATTGGACAACATTTGACACTTGATGGTATCATCATCGCCAACTTATCGCAGTCCACTGCTGGACATAGGCCTCTCCCATTGCACGCCACTTAAAACGATTTTTTGCTTCTCGCATGCAGTTCCTGCCAGCTCTAAAGCCTATCAGAATATGACCTTCACACGTCACATTTATAAAGCAAAGGCCTTTCCCGCGGTTTTGCAAATCTAAGTCATTTTTCAAACCTTTCTTTTTTAAATCGGCTGAAACGATTCTATCTCATTTTCATTCTAAAGATGAGCTTGAAATTTAATCAAACTGATGTTTACCGTTAATAAAAGTTTTGGTTTGAAAATAAATAAATTTTGCCTTTAAATCTCAATATTTGACCTAGGAAGCTTTGTCTTCTCGTGATTTTCTAGTCCTTCAAATCCTTTGAGATTAGCAAACTTTACTAAACTGACTTAAGCATCGTCGGTTTTATAATATTTAAGAGATTTCTAGCTTTTGGTGATTTAGTTTAGTAATTAACTATTTTCTTTAAGAAGTAATCAATATCTTTATTTTAATATTAATTACAATAATTACATAACTCAGAGAATACCTGTGCAAAATAAAGAATTGTGTGTCCAAGACAACTACTAATTTCTTTGAAAATTAAATTTCAATGAAATATTTTGAGCATAATAATTAGAGCATATAATTTAAGACCCTTTCTCACTATAGCTTAAATAAACACTGTTTAAGAATATCCTTTACCAGATGTTCAATTCCTAAAAGCAAGTCGACATCAGTTAAATAACCTCAATTATACCCTGTTTCTAACTAAGCTTCTTTGTTTCAGCACACGTCACAATCGCTGACTCCAAAACAGCCACAGTCCATCCTTAAGGACCCATCTCGACACAAATACGGCAACCAATATGGCAGTCCAATATCTTCGAGCACGCCGCAGAACTCAAATCAGATTCTGACCGTACAGAATCTCACATCAGATGTCCCACAATATGGGACCATTAAAAAAGAAAATAAGAAACAAAACGTCACTATTGATGAATCCTATAATAAAAGAAGTGAGACGCATGTAGTCTAAAAAGTGTAAACTGTCATTACAAACTAAAAAATTGGCTATGAGTGTTGTTAAACTATGCATGTAACTAAAGTGGTCGTGTAACTAAAGTGGACTTGTAACTAAAATGGAAAATGTGAAGTGAACAGTGTAAATAAAATGAACTAGATTAAATTGTAGATAGAATTAAAATAAATAAATGTGATACACGAACGAACTTTCAAACGATTAGTGTCCATTTGTAGATAGACATGACATTTAGCCTGAATAAGTATTTGGGCTAGTCTGGTTGTATGAAAATGTTCGACTGACTTATCAATATTGTAATAGGTAATACGTCCAAACGGCATAGGCGAACAAAAAAATATGATTTTTTCAATGTCCAATTGTAAAATCATTTTTAGGTAATAATACATTTAGATGGTAAAGTTACGATTTTATTCATTTTTAATTTCTTTTAAAGGCTGGATCTGGAGTTGTTCGACGGTTTGTAGTTTATGTGGTTTTGATCCTGGTGCGTTCTAAAAATATTTAGAATTTTGATTTTTTGAAACATCGAAAAAATTATAAATTCAATTCTGAATTACTATATTTCATTGCCGTATGTCATGATATTGTATATTATAATATAATACAATTGTTTTAGAAGTAACAAACTGTCGGACTAATGACTTTATATGTGAATTCAAATTTAATTGATTCCATAAAAGATCTCTCTTAATTAAGTTTTGAAAATAATTATTATTGTTATAATAGGGGTTTTGATAAATCAAACTAATTATATTAATCGGGAAAAATTTTGAATTTTCTCCTGTTGTCGTTTTTGATTGAAATTTCTCTAGAAAATGTTAAAATACATTTTTATTGTTGAATAAGTGGCTTGAGACTTTAAAAGTTGTTCCTGATAAATTTTTGGCATAAATTCATTTTTTCATAGATTTGTTATTTGTTTCTTTTTGACAGTTGTACTAGTGGTCGTTTTATAAAAGACTAACACATTAAAGATTCAATTCTATGTAGAAGTTCTAATCGTTTTTAGGAAAAATAAAAAGTAACCTTTAGTAAAAAAATATATATTGAATTCCTTTAATAAGTAATTTTACTTGTGCTACTTAATTTATCTTAGTTTTGCCATGAATTTCAATTTTTTTTGCCAAAGTTTATTTAAATTCTATTATTAATGACGGTTGGATTTTTATACTAAATTGGAAAAAAATGAAGTCGAATCCCAAAATATACTAAAAAACATTTATCCTTCCCACTACTTACAATAGAACACAAATTTTATTTATCCAATTTTAAATTATTATCAATCATTAAATTAAAAAAAAAAACTATATTTATAGTGTTATAAATAATTTTTACCTACAAACCGTGGCATAGTAACGTTCTCGAGCGACTGTCAAAAAGAAAGTAAATGGATTGAACAAAGTGTTATTAAAACAGTTTGACATGATTTTATGCGATTTTTTTATGTTTTTTAATTAAAAATTATCATTTTGACTTAAACACTAACACTAATATGTGAGACAACCCCATTACTTAATGTGTCAAATGTGTAAATTTAAAACTTAAAATTGTAACGTTTTACAAAAAAAAAACTGAGAACATATTCATAGTTGCAGTTTTGTATTATTATTTTGTAAAATCTTACTCGTAAGTTACTTTTTTCTGCATTTTTACAATGTAAATAAAAATAATAATAATAATACTCAAAGCGCGAACTGACAATAAAAATAAGTTCAATTAATTTTTATTTATATCCATGTTGATTCTATGTAAATAATATGTAAACTTAATTGTATTTTTTTTTAACATTAATAGCATTTTCAGCCACAAAATTTAATCGGTCATAATACACATGCCAAAGTTTTATTAATTTTATTCTTTAAGTTATTATGATACTTAATTTTTTTTTAATTATATTTCTTTTGCTTCGAATTTGTAACAATCACACAATTTCTCCAATTTCCAATGATTGTCAATTTATTTTTATTGGTTTCCCAAGTTTGAGAATCCATCCAATGACAAAATACGATTTTATATTTACATGAAAAAAAACTATTGTTACATTTCGAATAAAAATAAAAACCTAATAATTATTATTTTTGTTTTATTTTTTCCTTTTAATTTAATTTTTAATTAAAATCCAATTAGTAAAACATATCAATCGATAAAAGATATAGGTGTTTTTTTATCTTTAATTAATATTACTTGGTCATAATTTTATTTTGAATTTACGAACTGAAAAAGTGCCAAAACTGATATTTTCCTTTCGCGACTAAATAAACATTTAGATAATAACAATTAGCTGGGTTGACGTCCTTCTACATTTAAGTAAATTTAGTAAAATATTAAAACCGTGCCTTATACTTTTACGCCATTTTGAGATTAAAATATCACTTTAAAATATTGCCAAAATTAGTGTAAAGTTAATAAAAAATACGAACTCTTTAGTGGTAAGGACACTACGTTTTTTTATTGATTTTTTATTATTTTAATTGCAATTGGGGTATCCCATTTTTATATTGCATAATATAAATAAAGGCCTCCTGTATAAAATATAACGTTTTGTGATTTAATTGATGTTGCTGTTTTATATTAATTTTGATAAAAATATGAGCTTGGTCATTTAGTAGTAAGTGCTAATCAAATGTTCAAAACATATTGTCAATATGAATAAGATAATTAAATTAATTAAATAATTAAACAAGTCAATGTTAAAATTTTGGTAATAATCGTCAGTTTAAAATTATGAAAAAGATGTGGTATATCATACCAGTATTTCATTTAAAAATTACGTCATTTATAAGTTATTTTTTTTTCTAGAATTAAAGAACCAATCTTGGGAAAAAAAACACTTTTGAAATTATTTAAATATAATTATTAAATAAATTATAATTAATCTTTAAAATTTCATCAACTTGTTAATTCATACATTAATAATTAAACTTTCAAATTATTTTTCATTTAGCTATTCCCAATTAAATTAATTAAACAAGTTGATGAAATTAAATTTTAAATAACTATAACTTCATCTCAGCGATCATTGTAAAATAAGCCCAATCGTTAAAATTATAAGGTTGTAAATTGTTCTGTAATTCAAAAAAAAAATGTGACTTTGATATTACGTACTTACATAAACCTCATTTGTGTAATCAGCATATAATTGAATTAAAGCGTATATGTTAAAAAGGCTTTTCGTTTAACACGGCCCCTTTGAAACCGAGTTAATTCATGGATTTAAATGCTTTTGTGGTGAAATAAGTAAATTTCATTTGAATATCAACACACAAATATAATTATCACGCTATTTTCTTTTATAATTAAAAAGACAGATCTATGATACTGGTAATTCTGCTTTAGAAATTACTTTAGGAGACTTCTACTTACCAGGGATTTCCTTTCTAGGGTACACCTGGTTCCCCGACAACTGGTACCCGAGCCGGCGTGCGGTTTTCGGTCGGTTCGAGTCCGACATACAGTGGGACAGTGGGAAAAAAGGGGGACTTCTAGTAATAGATAGTGTATATAAGACCTTTATTCAATCTTAAAAAGTACCTAGGTATGGTAATTTTATTTGATGATGTAGGAGACAAAGAGCAGTCCTTATACTTGGTGACCACCAGCTCTGGAACAACAACTCAAGAGCTACAAGTTGGATTCCCATTCTAGACAAACATTGTCTGATGAGCACTATCATTAGATCTTTATCTGGGTCTAATTTATCCATACATATATACAAATAAATAAAATTAAAGCGTCTGTTTGTAATGTCGAAATAATAATTAATAATTAAAAATGCTTTACAAAACTCAGACTCCTTGCCTATGTGGTGTTTATGAGCACTAATCTTTACAAAGAAATAAAATTGAAGCGTCTGTTTTTAATGTCAAAATAAAAGGTTTTTTTCATGCTTACACGGTTTTTGTACGATACCAGTTTTTTTTTTGTCTGTCTTTGTTCGGGTATTCTCCTAAACGGCACGACCGATTTTGATAATATTTTACTACCAGGTAGCTGTCTATATAAGGAATTAAATGGGTTATTTTTTTATTTAGAAAAGCCCTTTAAAATTTTGCCTGTCCGGGAATCGAACCCACTAAGGCAGCGCTTTTCAAATTCTACGAGAACGAAGTCGCGGGTACTAGCTAGTTTATAACATATGTATTTAGAAATATATGATATCCATCATCATCATTATCAGCCTATGGCCGGCCACAGCTGAACGAAGGTCTCCCCCAAGGAGCGCCAACTGTCCCAGTCTTTGACAGTTCTACATTAATAAAATTTTAAATAAAAAAAACTTTGAAACAAACAGCCTTATCGATAAAATTATAGGCCTTTTTTCATTTTAATATGTTTCCGATTGATGGCAAAAGCCTTGTCTCGTATTACCTAAGTGGGACTATAATTATAGTTGTCAAAACGTTGACGATTTCATAAGCCTGTATCATCCCCTCCGGAGTTAAAGACATGTTCTTTATGTTAGAGGCAGCAGACGAGCAGACGTTTGACCTCATGGAAAGTGACTACAGAACATCTGCAAGTCAGGAAACATTGCCGGCCTTTTAAAGAAGAAGTACGCTCTTTTCTTGAAGGTTTGAAGGCCGTATCGGTCCGGAAATAACGCAGACAATTTTTGCCTCGCACTACCAATCTGTGGAATACCACAGATTGGTAGTGCGAGGCAACAATTGTCTCGAAAAGACATGAGTGCATGTTAATAATAATAAGTATTATAATCTATACTAAAAATATTGAAAAGAGAAGGAAAACTTGACACAAACCCTATACCAACCCGTCTGGCCACCGTGGTATAGTAGGCCAAAACCTCCTTTCTAAGGAGAGACATATGTCCAGCAGTGGACTAGTAAAGGCTGTTGATGATGATGATGATGACTAATATTATAAACGTGAAAGTGTGTCTGTCTGTCAGTCACTTCACGCTTAAACCGCTGAACAGATTCAGATGAAAATTGAAATTCAGTTTGAGTCCCGGGAAATTACATAGGATAGTTTTT